ATCTTTGTAACTGGAAAGTTGTGTTTTTTTCAACATTAGAGCTACGAAGAGATAAGCAGCACCTAGTGGGTACTGAGAACAGTCCATCTTGGGATCTTTTAAAGCAGTTTTAAAATTACACCTTGGAGATAAGAGACAAAGGTATCTGTTCCTTACTTCTCTCTTTGCTTTCACAGTTCCTTGCAAAGCAAACCCAATTCTTTTATTGTCCATAAAAACATTTATCACAATTGTATTTGAAAAACCCTTATAAACAGAAGTACATTGCAAGTGGCCAAAGCTGTCACGTGCAGCAAGTAGGACAGAGGCTGTGCCTCAGCAACATGTGCCCGATGTCGTGTGTCCCATGGCACCGTCTCTGGGCACGAGTGTTGAGCAAGGCTGATAAAGAATTGGCTGAATTGAATTGCATCCAGCTTGGGATTGAAATCTGGACTTTGTTCAGTGTTACGTCAGTGTGGAAGTAGTGATAAGAACTGTTTGTGTGTTTATCAATTACTTTACTCGCCTCAATAAAATTTCCTCTTGCACCTTGATTTGAGGAAGAAAACTTGCTTGATGACCATCATATCTAGTACATGAATGCAGGAAGGACTCAATCTTAGCATATTATAAAATTTATATCATCTAATAGAACATGATTATTTGCTTGACAGGATTACAGACTCATAGTTTTCCTAAATGAAGTTACATTATAAGCTCACTGTGTGAAGTACCTGGCAGGGTTTCCTCAAGAGACACAGGTCACTTTCGAGTGCCAGATACTAAAACTAGATTGTCAGTTAAAAGCAAGTATGCATTGGAATATGTGCAGTAGCTATGTGGACGTATGGACTAAATTTATCAGATTTGGGTTTGAATCTGTCATTCCCACACAAGTTAATAAGTGGAGAGCAGCAAACTAAAAATCCACTGAAGACTGAAACTGAGCAGTAAAGAAGTGAGGGAAAGCCCTTTTCTCTCTTCCTTTTTTTTTTATTGTAAGCTGCTGTTTTCTGATGTCTTCTACTTTTGTTATGTTGCCCTATGTATAGCATTTTGGGCTGTCGTGGGGGTTGCTTGGAATGGCTTTGGCACTGGAAATCGCCCCTGCTTTGGAACAAAATACAATGCACAAGGATGGGTGGAGCAGAAAAAGCAACCAGTAACCTCAGATCCCAACTGTCTTTCCACAAATCCACTCCCTAGTAGTTTGCATCTAGAATAAATAACTCTCTTCTGCACATATAGACGTGCAGTTCCATGCCAGCGTTCAAAAAGGATTTATAATCTGTAACTTCCTATCTTCTCTGGCTCGATGAGCTGTCTACCTTTTCCTTCCTATTCTTGAGGGATTGACCAACCCATGCGCTGGGCTGTGCTGAAGAAGCTATTTCTGAACTCTCTAATATGGCAGCACCAACTTTCTGCCTGTCTGCTGGTTTTCTCTTTTGTTGGTGAGTCCATGATGGTCTGCCAGTTCAGAGTCAACTTCCTACATTACTTTAACTAACAAAGTATTCCCTCCTCCTTTGTTTTCTACTGTTCAGTATTTCACAGCTTTACATACTGGAATTTTGCCATTTTGATGGACCAGTGTGGCTGGCTGGCTGAGCTCGGCTGAAGGTGAGAATCATCAAAGCCTTGCAAGAAAATATCCACCTCGTAGTGACAAGAGACCTGACTCTTACCACCCTGTGGACCATAACCTCTTTGTAGCTTTATGCTTTTTATTTAGGATGTGGATATGGCTTACTGTAGTTGAGTTCACTGGTCTGAACATCTTGCCACTGATTATTCTCCTGAATGCTGGCTACTGTGACTTGGTGATGACAGGCAGCAGGGTTCAGAAAGCTCTGACAGTTGTGCTTGCTGAGAGAGTACGTGTCCTCACCTTTAGCACCAAGTGAGATCATAGGAAAAGGAAACCGTGCTCCTCCAGCCTCATGAAGAACTGCACAAGGTTCCTTTGAGACATAGAAGTATCAGAAGTTTAATAGAATAGCTGAAATAGCGATATTCATCTTGTGAATAATGTGCCAGATATTTGACTATGCTGATTGTAACTATATATGTTCTGACTTAAAATGCTTTTACTGCTGACCATGATAGATGTAAACCTGCAACTCGCCACACTTCTCCTTCTAATAGCCTATCCTGGGCAACGTGGTCTAGTGGAGGGTGTCCCTGCCCGTAGCAGTGGGTTTGGAACTAGGTCATCTTTAAGGTCCCTTCCAACCCAAGCCATTCTATGATAACAACTTCCTTTGTCTTCAGGTAGAGGACAACTGGCATCTGAAGGCACTGGTTTTAGGTTCTTCCGTGATAGCTTCTTGTTTCAAGGCACTTGATGCTGCGTGCAAGGGATTTTTTGGTTTGTTTCCACTGCCCAAGTTTTAGACCTTGACTGATAAAGGTCTTAAGTTTACACTAAGAAAACAATCTGAAAAAAAAAAAGGAAAATCTATGTTTCACAATCATACAATATAATGCTTCCCCAAATTCAACCATTTTACTTTGTGACTTGTAGATGTTGATTGCTTCTGTTGCCTGTTTCAGCATGCTCTCCTTGGCCGTTGCATCTGTATGGGGTTCTGCTCATCAGAGTGCTGCCTATAGACTATACTGTAGGCTGCTGCACCTTTTGCCTCAGTGTCTGACTAATAAGTGATAAATGTGAGCCATACTGTACTGCCTGACAGAGATAAATGATGTTAAGGTTGAATATCTTTGTCAATGATCTGGACGAGGGGATGGAGTGCACTCTCACTAAGTTTGCGGGCGACACCAAGTTGGGCTGGAGCGTTGATCTGCTTGGGGGTAGGAAGGCTCTACAGAGGGATCTGGACAGGCTGGATCGATGGGCCAAGGCCAACTGTACGAGGTTCAACAAGGCTCAGTGCCACGTCCTGCACTTGGGTCACAACAACCCCAGGCAACGCTACAGGCTTGGGGGAGAGTGGCTGGAAAATCTGCCTGGCAGAAAAGGACCTTGGGGTGTTGGTCGATAACTGGCTGAATACGAGCCAGCAGTGTGCCCAGGTGGCCAAGGCGGTCAGCAGTGTCCTGGCTTGTATCAGAAATAGTGTGGCCAGCAGGAGTAGGGAGGTTATCGTCCCTCTGTACTCGGCACTGGCGAGGCCGCATCTCAAGTACTGTGTTCAGTTTTGGGCCTCTCCCTACAAGAAAGACACTGAGGTGATGGAGCACGTCCATAGAAAGACAACAATGCTGGTGAAGGGTCTAGAGCACAAGTCTTATGAGGAGCAGCTGAGGGAACTGGGGTTGTTCAGCCTGGAGAAAAGGAGGCTGAGGGAGACCTTATTGCTCTCCTCAACTACCTCAAAGGAGGTTGTAGCCAGGTGGCTCTTGGTGTCTTCTCCCAAGTGACAAGTGACACGGCAAGAGGAAATAGTTTCAAGTTGTGCCAGGGGAGTTTTAGGTTGGATATTAGGAAAAATCTGACTGAAAGGGTTGTGAAGCACTGGAACAGGCTGCCCTGGGAAGTGGTGGAGTCACCATCCCTGGAGGTACTTAAAAGACATGTGGATGTGGCGCTTAGGGATGTGGTTTAGTGGTGGACTTGACACTGCTACGTTAATGGTTGGGCTTGATGATCTTAAAGGTCCAACTATTCTATGATTCTAAAAAAGTGGTTATTAATATTACTGGACATTCATAAGCCAAGAAGATACTTAAGTTGTAATTCTGCTGCCTCTACTTGATGGAATCTTATGTCAAAGAGGAGAGAAATGGTGTTTGGGTTTTTAGTCCATTCCTAAAGCAATTGAAGGAATGTTGTTGATACTGGTTTTGTGCATTTAAGTCTGAGCAAGCTCAGTTGTAGTCCTGTGTTCTTTGTTTTTAAAACATTGTAAACTAAGCACTATTAGAAATTCCAGATACATTTTTATAGCGCTTCTGTAATTCCAATTATGAGGTCTAATACTAAACATGTGGAGTAATGGTCTATTCTTGATTCATAAGGGCTCATGGGCTGTCCTATTTTACTCCTGTCTTTAATTAAAAAATTAAAAAATAAAAATTACTGTATAGGAAAAGGACTTGGCATTCATAAGTTGAGGTTTTTTGCAGCTGGAAAATGCTGTGCAATGTTAATATGTACTATAGCATTCCTGTATTTATTCTTTAGATGAAACCCCACAATTTTTTGGTATGTTGTAATTTAGGAAAATAATCTCTGCATAACATCTAAAATTATTTTCAAGTTGAGGCATAACATTAATTTTTACTTTTTTCTAAATCAAAGGAATGTTTAATTTTTTTTAAAAAAGCATCTGATGAATATTTATTGATTGCAACAAATAATGATCACCAAGATGGGTCGATGCGGGCATTCAGATAAAGGCATTCTGCAGTCAAGGTTGGATGATGTGATTGTTTCATTTAGTTTCTGCTTTTTCGTTTTGTTCATATTCTTGCTCTCAAGCTTTGAATTTGTTACGTGGTTCTGTTTATAGTCAAACAAAAAGAGGAATATTTTTTTTTTTCAGTGCTGACTTACAACAAGCTTGTGGTTGTTGATACTACAGGTGGTGTTTATTTTAATGTTGATAAATTTTCAGGGGTGGGGAGGGGAGACAAAGGAGCTTGCAACTTGCATCCAAAAGTTGCTGGGACTTCGAAGCAATGCAGATGGAGTTGTTGACTTATACCACATAGCTTTAGGAAATCAAAGACCGTTTAGATACAGCACTGATAAATACTTATGTCATGGGTTGAAAGTGGAACAGAACTGTAGTGTATTGGATGAAATTAAATGAATATTTTTTCAGAACACTTGTTTCATGGAGTAAAAAATGAAAGTACATCAGAAACCCATCTTGAATCTTCTTCCCTTCACTGTGAACATTAAGAGTTAGGTATTCAGGGCAATCATCATTAATGCTGTTAGCTAGAAAGTCTATGGATTTGGTTGTTTTTTTTTTTTTTTACTGTTAACTCATTGCAAAAGTGCTTATTTGGCTGTAATTACAATGATGTGCTTTTCTTTTTTCCGTAGGTGGCTATTTTTAATGCAGTAGTGTCATTAGCTGGCTGAAGACTAAACATGAGAATAGCAGGTAAGTGTGCTCAGTAAAATCAGACTTTTTGTCACTTGTGCAACAAGTTCTATAGACAGCATTAACAAGTTGTGACAATAAGCTTTTAAAATAAACTTAACAGGCATTACTGTTCCATTTAATGTTTAATGAAACTAATAATGGAATTTGGGATGGTCTAAGAGCAAGCAGCTGGTTAAAATGCTTCAGCTGATCTGCAGTGACTGGTTAAGGTGCTGTGACTTTACATACTTCAGCTGCTAATTCTGTAAGATGATGAAAGACTAAGGAAATGGCCAATTGATGTCTTAAGTGATTTGCTCCCTGCCTCACACCCCAACCAAAAGCGCCCTGCGCGTTACCATATAGCGTCTGAAACTTCCTGAATGGTTACTGGGAGTGTAAAAGCCGTGAAAGCCTTTTCATAGAGGTCAGTTACTGTAGGGTTTGAGAAATTGATTTTACTTGACAGAAGATATAGCAATGAATTTATAGCTTGTAAAAATAAGTTCTTTGCCAATATAACACTACAAGAAAATATTATTTTTGACATTTCCTTGCAGTAGAATAGCCTGTGTGGCAATTGAACAGTTTTGAGTTTCTGATGCATTGCACTTTTATTGTAGTCGTAGTGTTATGTTGCAAAAGGAGCAACTATTGGCTCTTCTAGGAGAGAATGACACCTTCTTTTCTGAGTGCTGCACGTTAACCTTCTTAATGCAAGAAATTAGTCCTGATTTTTGTTTTCTGGGAGCAACCTGTTAAAGTAAATCTGATAAAGAACTGGAAAATGCTGCAATTTTAGGAAGATGGCTAAATGACCTGTAAAATGACTTTCCTAAACGTCTTTTTTTCTTCTATCTAACTGCTTCTATTGCTAAAACCCACAGACAAGAAGATAAGGCAGTTTGTGTAGAGTGTTTAACCTGTAGCAAACAGGCTGGTTTTGATTCAAGTGCTAAAAGAGTTTTCTAGGAGAATTCTTACTTCTCCCACAGAGGAGGCGCTCATAGTTCAGTTGAAAGGCTTGGGACAGAGTGGAGGGGATGATTAATGCTCAGACTTGAGTTCTTATTCATCTCACCTACTATCTACTGAAACAACATGGTCTCCAAGTGCCACTCGCTAGATGACACATTCCAAAATCTGGTACCATCTTTTTTAAGCAGCGTTGGTTTGAAAACCTTTTCTTCACCACTTAACGTATGTTCAGATCATCTGTTTTCTCTCGTGTTTGCATGTGGTTCACTTCCCTTCGAGTGCAATAATCTTTGGAGTTCCAGCATAATATTTTTAAATTAAGTTTGCATCTGTGTTTTCTTACAATAGTACGTATATGTGTTCACACACACACACAAAAAGGGAAAGTGGAAGAGGAAGACTGAACTACAAGCAAACAAAAAAGTTGCATATTTCTCTTCACCTTTCTTTTTGTTTTCTATCCCCTTATCTTTTTTTAGCCTTTTGGAAGGATTGATTAACATCTCTCACCCTTCTGAAGGCTGAGTAATCTGTCTATTTTAAGGTTTCCTGAACAGCCCATCACAGCAGCTTTATGAGATCTGCAGGAGTGCATAAGTTTGGGTTTTTTTCTGAAGGATTATTTATTTGGCTGGCAGTATGAGATCTGCAGGAGTACATAAGTTTGGGTTTTTTTTCTGAAGGATTATTTATTTGGCTGGCAATCCGAGAAACAGAAGCATGCTGTAAGGCTGCTTCTTCCAAACAGTTTGACATACCAGGGTGAGACAGGAAGGCAGAATGTTGATCAGATGCCTCCTCACCTGACTTTTACTCTCAGTCAGTTAGTATTTTATAATAAGCTTAGAGTGGAGTATTCTGTAAAAATCTATTGAAAATTATGCTAAAAAGTGGTGGGCTTCATGGCAGTACCACATACACCCGAGTTTATGTTTCAGATGTAAATTGCTGTGGTTGTGTGCTTCCAGCTCTTCTTGCAGGAGGTAGCTTGACTGCTCAGCACTGGAGAAAGTTAGGCTTGTAACAATTCAAGCTACCTGAGACTTCAACGTATTAAAAGGGGAAGGGGGAGAGGTACTGCTTTTTATTACTATTTAAATTAGCTCTTTTGAGTCTTCAAACTTGCTTTTTGAAGGTCAGTAATTTGAATTTGTTGAAAAGGAGGTGAGGAGGCTTTGCTGCTTTTCTTGTTTGTTTGTTTGTGTTGGTTTTGGGAGGGGGGGTTTGGTGGGTTCTTTTTTTTTTTTTTTTTTGGTTTGATTTTTAGTGTAGTGCTCAGATCTGACTGACCAAAGCAGCCAAACTACAGTATGTGGACAGATCCCTAATCACTCAGTCTTGGCCGTACATTAAAATAGAGGTAGCTCAATTTGAGGGGTGGGTGGGGAAGAAAAAAAAAAAACCAAACCAGTATTTGTGAACAGTGAGGAAACGGGTAGACCTCGCTAAAAACAGGGAAGTGTAACAGAGGGAGGTGGGAATTTCCCCTTTGGACAGCAGCCAGTTAGATCAGCTTAGTTCATCTTTTAAGCTGGATTTCCACAGAAAAGTCTTTGGTTTCTCCTGGCTGCTGAGCTGATTTGGTGTACTGTGCTGTCAGACAGCATGGAGCTGGAGAAAGCGGAGAGCAGGGTATGTGTTTGGTATAGTGACCTCATAGACTGGCTCAGTTGCATCCCCCATTATAGCATCCATTTCTTGCAGATTACTTCTGTTTAGCGAATCCACAAATGATCATCCTGTTTCTTAGTTCCCCTTAATGTGATCTGATGCACATTTCTCATGTAGTTAATTTTGGTAGAGTTAATGTTATTGTTTGCAGATAACTTTTTGAAACTTTTCTCTGCTTCTGAATAGGTGCTGCAAAGTTGGTAGTAGTCGTAGCAATTTTCTTACTGACGTTTTATGTCATATCTCAAGTGTTTGAAATAAAAATGGATGCAAACTTAGGACATATATTTGGTAAGTGATGACTTTGTTTTCTCTGGACATCTATTAGTATTTACTTGAGCCATAATCAAGAATATCATATTCATTTTGCTTTAAACTTAACTTATACTCTTAAATTTAAGAAGAATTCTGTGGGTGTTTAGTGTGCGTACTTGTTATTTTTTTATATATATTAAATAATGTAGGAATTCTTTTCTATATTAAATATTTACCCTACTCTCTTAATTTCATTTTTTTGCCTTCCAAGTATACAGAATCTTATGTGCTTTTTCTGTGTACTGATAATTGCAGTCTTAGTCTGGAGTTGTAAACTAGGCGACTTGAATGATGTTTCTGGAAATCTGCACTCTGCCTTTCTGCTGCTTAAGCAATTCAAAATTTGTTTGGGGTGGGCTTTTTTGCTTGTACAGGTACAGTACCATGTACAATTGAACGTGCAGTAATCAAAACATTTCAGATGTGCCCAGGTTCTACACAGAAAAGGATTACCAGCTGAGGTGACTTAAAATTCAGAGTGTGTGTTTTGAACCAACTTTACCTTTAAAGGGGCTTTTCATTATAAAGAAAACAATTTTAGGTAGTGGGTAGGGTTCATGTTATTTAACTTCAGATTACTACAGTGTGAGCCGACATCTGAACCAGTCACCAGAGGCATCTTTAATAATAATTGAAAAGACACAGGTGTCATTAAGTATTACAGCTGCATTGTAGATATGTGCGTGATGATGTCACTTGTATCCCAAGAAAGGGAGTCATGAGTGGTTGGATTCAAATACACCTGAGTTGCAGGCTTCCACTGTTAGGTGGAAGGAACCTCATCCTGGTGAAGAAAGGAATTCATTTCACTTTAGTGCTCACACCTCCACAGATCCTGGGGGTTTTGTATTACCATGGATCTTTGAGTTCATTAAATAATAATGTCATAAATTAAGGCAGTGCTTCTAAATGTGGTCCCTGACCACTTTCATTCTTCTACCATGTAAAGGCTAATGTTTTAGATTGGAACATAATAGATGTATTTGATACTTCATTTCAACTAGTCTATTTTTACAGGGGTAGAGAGAGGTTTTAAATTTATAGGATGTTTTATAGCAGATGACACTTTAATAGTAACATCTTGTAAAATTTTCTTTTTGCCTTTTAGCTAGATCAGCACTGGATGCAGCTGCACGCTGTGAGTGTTCATATGCATGTATTACTGCTGTGACTTGCTTTTCTGTTATTAGGAAAGACTGTTGAATTTTCATAGTTAAGAAAGTCTTAATTACACTTTAAATGCAATCAGGAACTAATTTTCTTCTCCTGATTTTCCTAAATTTCTGGTAAAGTCTGTTTTTTGCCAGCACTTCCCTTGTAGTTTTGTCTTGTGGCTTTTGATGACAGTGCCAGAGCAAGCAGCGGGGTAAGAACAAGAAATAGAGTAATGAGATACTGCAGGAACCTAAAGTATTTTAAGCTGCTATGAAACTGCAGATGAGATACCTTTGTCTTTGCTCTTTTCCTTGAATTCCTTCAGAAAACTAACTAATATTTCTCTGTTAGCCTACCTCTGGTGTTGTCTCTAAAATTATGTTTTATTTCCTTTTGAAAGCTACAAAACCTCCAAGATACAAATGTGGGATCTCGAAAGCTTGTCCTGAAAAGCATTTTGCATTCAAAATGGCAAGTGGAGCAGCAAATGTAGTTGGACCTAAAATTTGTGTAGAAGATAATGTGTAAGTATTTTTTACCTCTAAGTTATGCACACATAATCAGTAGTTTAAATGATTCTGTTTTGTTTTGCCAACGGTTTGACTACGTGAAAAAATTATATTGTATTATAACTTAATCTCTGATGAAGCACACTTAATACGCTGCAGTAAATGCAGAAATGTATGCTATTTTAATACATGCAAAATAGCTTACACTTTATTTCGGGTTTACAGACTAAAGGATTAATTAGACTTTGTCAAGTCAGATGCAAACTTGCCTTCAAGTAACTTGTTCTTGTGCCTGTAATAGTAATTCAGTGAACAATTGTATTGTTAAGTAATTACTCTTCATATTTCTAGTTGAATGTCATCAGCTAAAACTGTGCTGTGGAATTGTCCTGCAAGTCATCTTTTAAACTATTTCCATAATACCAATGTCAGAACATATTTTCTGCCTTAAAGGATGCCTTCAAAAGGAAAAAATATTATTTTAATGATCAGGAGTTATTTAATTGTGCTGATGGTAACTAAAGTTAATAAATTTAAAATAATTGTGAAATGAGGAAAGGGACTGCTTGAAACAGTTTGATTTTGAGTTTGTCCTGTATTTCTAATACTGTATTTTTAACAGAGTATTATCAGTAATACTGTGCCTAGAGTATGAAAGTTAATACCTTTCAGTAATCCTATAATGGGAATATTACTATTTATTTTTAGACTCTTTGTTTCTTTGATCGTAGGTTGTTCCTGCTCATTGTCACCTAGAGTGTGCAGCTTCATGTAACATAAGCTATCCACTCATGTGTTACATGTCAGAAAAGGCATGTTAGCGTTGTCAGGAGATTTTTTTTTAATATCAGCTGCACTGATATCAGCCTTTGCCTTTCATTTGCATTTCAACTACTCTAGCTGTTTCTCAGCCCACGCTATGCTAGTACAGAGTGATTCAGAGAGCACGTACAGCAATCAGTGCTAATTAATTCTACAGCAAATGGCAACTTTACCGTGACCAACATAACCCCATGTACTATAGTAAATAGGATAAATAATCTGTAATGGAATAAAAAGTATTGGTTTATGTTTTCCATCACTTTACTGTCTAAAGTAACACTGTAAGATTAATCTTACATGAACTTAGGGAAGACTGTATTTTTAGCATTGACTCTAGCAGTTAAGATGTAGTAAAGTTGAAATGGGAGCTTTTTTTTTTCCCCCTGACAACTAAACACGTGCAACGTCTTCACTTTGTGTTATTAGTAGAAACACAAGCACCATTCACATTTCAAGCCATTCTTCTGTGAGGCTGACTTAGCTCAGCTTGCTCACTTGTGTAGGAGTGCGTTTGCAGCGGAGCATCACGGTATAGTCAGGGAGCATGTGCAAAGCGAGCAGGAGCTCGCTGTTGACACGTACTAACTAGAAGCTGCTAAGTTCTGCTTTCCATTCTTATCATTGATATGCTTCATGACCTTGGACAGTCTTATCTAATCTCTCTGCATGGTAGTTTTGGTGTTACAAAACTTGCCAGCTTCTCATTCTGGTTGCTAGGAAGCTTAATACCTGTGAAGACTTAAGGTGATTCACTGATTAAAAGTTATGGGAGTGCAAATAATAATTTAACTTTGGGATTGTAGGATTTGATTATTTTTTTTATTTTTTAAATGTCTCGCTTACTGATTAACTAATAAGAAATTGTTGTTCCTGTCAAAAAAAAAATCCTCCACTTGATATTTCACTGAAGAAAGTGATGAAAAGAAATAGTTGCTGGAAAGAAATCTTGTATTCTGTTAATACTAGTGCACATGGTAGTGCACAGCTATTGGAGTCTTAAGTCCACTTTTCCTTGGCAAAAATCGTTCTGAATTCCTTCTGAGGAGGACTTGTAATGTCTGTTTAAAGGTCCATCAGAAAATGTGATTAATTGTATATGATCTCCTGCTTTGCTCATAAGACATTTGATTTCTCTTTCAAAAGCTCCCATAACTTGATTGTAAATTGTTGGAAGAATTCTAAAACTGATGAACGGCTGCCCTCCTGTGAGAAGACTGTTGCATTACAGCCTGTAGTCTTTGTGACTTAGAGTGAAGTAGTATCTCAGAGTTCTGAAAGAACCTATTTCTTCTTCGGTAGTTTTTTTTTTTAGTGATATTTTGTGAACTCACTCCTGCAAAATGCTTTTTTCTGATTAGTTTGTATTCTTCATACTTCCAAGACAAGGAAGCAGGGACAAGTTTTCATAATTTGTCAATGGTATTTACAATTTAGGTTTTTGCTGTGTATTAAACATAAGGATTTAATGTATTAAACTTGGTTTATGAGAGCACTAAATGTGCTGAAATATTTCAGAATGCATTTAATTTCTTAATTTTTATTGTTAATTATGTAGATATTTTGGTGTGAAACAGGAATTTTGCCCTGTAGAAGTTCAGTTATAGCCTTGCTCTCCTATATTGGAAAGACGTAGTCCAACTTAGGAAAAAATTTCTACTGTAGTCATGGTCAAAATACTAAATATTGCAGTTATTACTTAGTGGGTTTAGAAGAAGGGGTGATATTGCTGTATATCTTTACCAGCAACCTACATCTGCAGCCCCTTCCTGGAGCAAGCTAGGGAGGTTAAAGAAATCCTGATCAGGATGGAATTAAAGCATATCTTAGAGTGTGTTTGTAATTAATGAGATATACGCACCTATATGCGTGTGCTGAGGTGCTTTCTTGAATCTCATCTGTAGACTTTATTATCTTAATTTATGTAAGTTTCAACCCTTACTCCTGTTTCTCTAACTCTTTTACTCCTAGCTTCAAAATGTCAATGCTGGGATATTTGGGGCCTGGAGGCAGAACAGAGATTGTTACACAATCTCTGCCAGTGATTGCCAGTGAAAAGAGATGAGGAGGTCTCTAAGCTTCCTCTCACTGGAGTGGTACACCCATCATGGTCCAAGACAGCGCAGCAGCCTAGCTGACAGTCTTGATGTTCCCGTTAGCTCTTCTTTACAGCTCTGAAGGGCTTCCATTTCACAACATGTCTATACTTTCCAGCTCCTTTGCCACTCTGAGTTTGGCCAAATAATTGCTGTCGTAGATTGTGACTATTTTGTTGGGATGTGTAACTGTACTACACGATTATATTCCACTTTTGTTTCAAGTCCCATCAGTGTATGAACTATTTTTCTTGGATTTAGGTTTCCTGTTGCAGGTACAAGTAGCTAACTGCTTTGACTTTTTTGTTTCTTTTTGTGATGCTGCAATATTAAATTTAAGTACCTCGGTTCGGTTAGCTTTTAAACTCATTAACACATTTTTGTTCATCATGTGCTTACAAAAAAGCTTAAACTGTTGGTTACATGACTGTGTTAAGCTCCTGAAATTATTCATTGTTTCAGGTTCTTTAACTGCAAGGAATTTTCTTAAATACATTAATAGTACTTTATTTTTTGTGACATTTTTAATATACACACATACTTTGGAACCCAGATGATTAAGCAATCAAATGAAATGGATACAACTGGGGATATTTGATCTATTATTGTTCTTAATTCAGTGGTGACATAAGAGCACATAGATTAGTTCAAGGAGATTTTGCTTCATTTAAGTACTCGTGAAGATGTGGTCTTTCAGCTATCTCTCAAATTTGATCCTGTTTAAAAACCAGAAATATTGAACATCAGAAAGTTGTCCTATTAAAAATAAATGTGTTTATTTTGTTTCAGTTTAATGAGTGGAGTTAAAAATAATGTCGGCAGAGGAATAAATGTGGCCTTGGTCAATGGTAAGTGACGTTTTACGTGAGCAGATTGTCTTCATTTTCAAATTGTTTCTGAAATTCAAAGTGAAATACTAAGGGATGGTGAAAGGCAAGCAGGAGGAGAAAAGGAAGTATTCAGCATATTTATACTGAGATAATGTCAGGTCTTGGCACTTCTACTTTTTTGTTAGAAAGTAGAAAAACTAAGTGCATTTTTTGTTTCTAAAAACATGTAGCAAAAATAATAATGTGGAGTGCTGTGGTGACTGTCTCGGTGATAGATAAATTCCTAACGTACATATAAAATGGGAAGAGACACAAGATGCGTGCTACTTCTTTTGACTTGGTGCGTTTCCACCGCTAATAAAACGTTGTAGATTAAATTTTTCTGTTGCCCTTTTTTCAGTGAAACTTGTTTAACAATTCTTCTACTACATGAAAGACCAGCTTATTGTTTCCTAGCTTGAAATCAATATATTCAGTTAGTCCATATCTATAGATCTTGTTCCTAAATACGTCATGTTATGCAATTGTGTTCAAGATTCTTGACTTTCATTAAAACCAAATTTACCTGTGTGTCACCTTGAAAGCTGAACTGAACATCAGTGCTGGCAAATTTGTCCTTAATGTGTAGGAAACAATTCCTTGTAGCACTGAGACAGCACTTTGTCATTTCACTGCAATATAAATTCATGGTTTTTTTGGATTGTACTCAGGTTTATGTCATCAAAAGCATGACTTGAACAATACTCGCTTAATCTTATTTCGCCCTCCTAAATTGTCTCAATCTGTTCAAACCCAAAATACCTACCTTTGTATTAGATAGCTGCCAGTCTTTCTGCCTGTCTTCCAAACTTTAAATGAATGTATATATTGAGAAGAAAACTACCTTCCATTAAATACTGCCTTGGTAGACAGCATAGTTTAAAAAAAAGAAATATAAAAAAGAGCTAATGAGATCATTACGTTGTCCACCTTCTTCTATTTCTTCTGGATGTTTAAATTGTCTAAGAATTTCCAGTCTATTTCCAGTGTAATTTTAATCTTTTACTTTCCATGTGGCACTAAAGACAACCTATAGCTGTGCTGTCTATTTTTGCAAAAACAACTTAAAAAAAAAAAAAAGGCAAATTGACGTGACTTCTCTTTACTGGTTTTAGAGGATGTGGGCTTTCTGTTGTTGAAGTAAAATCAGAAGTTTGCATCTTCTCTTTCTTTTTCCTCTTGCCTTTTCCTGCACCTTTTCACAAACTACTGTGCTGTTTAAGGAGAAATCTTCATAAAAGATGAGTTACATAGTAATTAATTTATATGGTGTCTTCTGCAGCACTTTCTTTGAAAGAGTCATTAAGAGGATTTGGGTATGTTGTCTGTAAAATAATTTTGGCTATATTTGACACCAAATATTTCTTTTTTCTCCAGGTAAAACAGGAGAACCATTAGACACTAAATTCTTTGACATGTGGGGAGGAGGTAGGTGCAGTTACTGTAGCTGGTTAGAGAGAAACAACTTAAACACCCTTTTTTTTCCCCTCCCTTCTCTAGGCTCCATTTGCTGTGATGGTTTAAGGTGATAGAGTGCCTCACCTTTACCTTGTAATTGGGAGGAGTATGCAACTTTAAAGAAACACAAATAGTCGAGGGAGAAGGGGAATGGTACGGTTAATCAAACACACTTGTTCTCTTGTTCTCCCCAATAGCTCCTGTTAGTGGTTGTGTCTTTACACAATATGGATGAAACTCTGTTTATAAAATGAGGGAGTTCTCTGATGCATTTTATCTTTCTCCCACTTTTAATAATTTTTTATAAATTTATAAGTATACTTACGAATATTCTTAAAAGGAATGTCTTTGCAGGAAGGAATTGCAGGTGTTTAAATATAGAGTGGTTGCCCTCTTACTAAACAGTTTTACGTTCTCTCTCTTTTCAGATGTGGCACCATTTATTGAATTTCTGAAGTCCATCCAGGATGGAACGATAGTGTTAATGGGAACATACGATGATGGTGCAACCAAGTATGTCATTGATTTATACAGTAAATATTGCTTAAACTTTTAATTGTTTTGTACTAAAAAACCTACATTCTTTACTACACAATCACTTCTGATAAAGTTTTGTTTTTTCAGGATGATGGATTTGAAACTGTGCTTTCAGTTTATTAGTTTTATAATGCTGTGATTTAGGGACAACTAGGATCAGATTAAAACTAACCAGGTGTAATGGGTTCTGTATATATTTACAGAGGGGAGTGTTAGGTGCATACTTCTGTGATCCTCACAACAGAGAAACAATAAATTAGATATTATATCAGACCCTTTAGCAGAAATATCCCAAATGCTCTTTGAAAATCTGAAAAGGCTAGGGATAAATAGTTGACTAATTAGCAGTTGCTGTATCAGTACACATAGGTGGGTTTTTTGGTGTGGGGTGTTTTGGTTTGTTTTTTTTTTTTCTTTTTCTGAGAGAAGATGGGGATGCAACAAGACGACAGTGGAGGGCATATGGTCAGTCCAACAAAGTATTTACTCATAGCTATGAAGAATATATTTTTTTTGTCAGACATTGGGTGTGTATATACACACACACACACATATATATATATATATTTTTTTTTAACCATACCCTTATTCTCCCTGGCTCCTGAAGACCCTGTAGGTTTCTAGCCACTCTCCTAGAATTTTGCCGAGGATATGTCATCTTTTTGGAGATATGCTGGTTTTTCTGTTGCTGATAGCTTGTTCTGTCTTATCCTACTAAATTCAGATACATCCAGACATAGGAACATACTGTGAGAACGTAACCTGGTGGAAATTGGTCTGTTCCACTAAGCACTTTTCTTGGATCAACTCAAAGACAGAGCTTGGTTACATGGGTGCAGAGACCATTCCTGATAGGCCTTGTCTGTGTCCTTCCTTTTGAAGTCTGAGAGGTTACTAGTGTGTGCCTCATGCTTGTTGGGCTCAGTGTTTGAAACTGTGCCACCCTAAGCTGTTCAATTTACTAGCGTAGACATAGCCTAAGAGGTTTCAGTTCTCTTTAAGCTTGTCTTCCAACCTTCCCAACTTTGGTCAGCTCTAATAGATACTCAAAATTACTGTAGAATTTATATTGTAATCTACTCTTGATGTAAGTCATCCTATCCAAAGGATTGGTTTTCATGGTGAAAATTAACTTTTTTTTTCCCCTCCTTTTCCTCTATTAGTTTAATAATATTAAACTGTTTCCTAATGTGCTCTGTACATTTTTTTTTTTTCTCTTTTGGTTCAATTTGTTATCCACAACTTGTCTGTATTTTTGATATAGGAGCAGCTTTGCTATGACAAACTCCTGACTTCAGTGTGCAATATTTGCAGTAAATAGTTACGAGTGTGTACATTCACTGCTTTTAGGAGAAGAAAACAATTTAATGTTTCTTTATGCCAAGGCTGGATCTCCTGTCTGTTGTTTTGCGACTTTTCTTCTCTTTGCTCTTTTCCCTTTCTTCTTTGAGGTTTTAGATAGTAAGTACAGTTAGTTTGTTTCAATAGTCATGTCACAGGTGATGTTTTTGAAAGCTGGTATGCAGATATGCTGTCAGCTAAACAAGAATGTGAATTTGGCCCATTCATGCTGACAGCCAGGAACTACTGCTTATTAGTGATATTACATAATTAGCCAAAACCTTACCACTGGTGGTTGACGGTAATCATAAATGCTAGTTCTTGAAAACAATTAAGTGTGAAGAACCAACACATTTAAAAGATAAAATATTTTCCTTTTGATTTTTTTTTTAAAATATAAGCTGCCCTAATGCTCTAGAAAATTGGAGTGTGGGTTGTGCAAATAACCTCCAAAGTACTTAATAATTTTCATAATTTTATCTAAAGTGAGTTATACAACTGTATCTCAGTAAGTAGTAATAATCAGAAGTTGTGTGTGGTGTTTAGTAATCGGGCAAATATAGTAACTGAAAGGAAGAAATAGCTGTTATTTGGAGGTTTGGGAATGATAACTTATCTTATGTTTTCCCTTCAATACTAAAATTATCCTACTTGGACCTACAGGCACTGAGCCATGCTGTGGGGCAGCATTCTGCATTTTGAATTAATTGACCCAAGCAGACAAGAACTTCTTTCATCTATTTCAGTCATTCTCCTAATCCAAAATAGCTTTTACTTTATCTAGACTTCAGCTTGAGCTTGCAAACGATGTTTACTTTAAAGGTCGACTTTTTCAGTTGCATGGAGAATTGCGAACATGACTTGAGATGTATGTATAAATTTTCACAGGAGAGGGTTCTTGACTTTTGTTGGTGTACTGATAGGTTTGTACACTGTTCCTTGAGATTATAAGATTAAAGAGCAGTGCTCATTAGATCAGGTGATTTCAGAACTAGCCTTATTTGATTTTTGAAAGATAGATCTTGCCCAATATTGACTGACTTAAACTATATTTAATCAGATTAAAGCTGAATGGTCCATTGAACAAGGAGAGCTCTAAGGGCATGTATTTTATTCACATACTGAACTCTGTTTTGTTCAAGGCTTAATGAGGAAGCACGGAAACTGATCGCTGAATTAGGAAGCACATCTATTACTAACCTTGGCTTTAGAGACAACTGGGTCTTCTGCGGTGGAAAAGGAATTAAGACTAAAAGCCCATTTGAACAGGTCTGTGATTCTGTAACTTACGGGAATTTAGCAGCTCACATTAATAAAGGCATAGCATGTTTTATAAATACCATGCATTTGTTTGAGATAGGTATCTGTTGTAGTAGTGGCACACAGTGCTATTTTCAAATTTATTCCTTGAGTAGCCTCCTCCTTTTAAATGTACAAAATAAGATTCTTTGGTGATTAACAAATAAGAAAAAATCTTTGTGGGGTAGATCTTAGTATCCCAATAACTAGATTATTTATCTTCTTAATGAATCAAATTAAACTGAAAAATTAAAAACTTACTGTCTAACGCTTGTATTTGAGATGCACGAACAATGGCAGACCTCTGACAAATAAGTGGTAGTTATGGTGTTGGTGTTCCCTGCTGTTCACTTTGCTCTTCTGGCTAAAATTACTGCTGCCATAGCAAAATTTGTGAAATATAATATGTTCCCATACTTTAGCTGTTTAAAGGCAACAATGACATATGTTGAATTTTATTACCTGTAAAGGCAGTTTTGTACTAGGAGAGTAAGGAAAGTGTGTTCTCTTTTGCCAACTTTGCGAGGGAGTGGGAACTGGTGCAGGAGCAGTGACAAACTCTTGGAGGCAGTAATGTCTTACCTGACTGCAGATGGTTGCTTGGTGGAAATATAAACCCTTATTTAAAAAAAAAACAACCACAAAACCAAACCAAAAACCAAACAACAAAATGAACATTCACCATTAAATAATGTTCTTAAAGTTCTGGCTGTTCATTTACAGTGCCTTGTAAGTGTAGTATCCTTATTTATTTTTTCTAGTGGTTCATGTTTTAATGCAGTTGGTCTTTTTCTTCCTAAATAAACATCCAAAATAAATTTTAAAAATGCTTTCCCTATATGACTTAACTGTTTTAAGCATACACTTATCTCAGCAAGTTACATTGTGATAAATACTGAGAGATTGTTATATTTGATACAAAGCACAGGAGGCTAATAGTGATGTCTTCTCTTTGTCTATGGCCTGAAAACAAGTAAATAAAATGTTTTTTAAAGCTGTGAGTTAAAGCAACAGGATACATGACTTTACATTAACAGTAGATTGGTATTTTCTATTTATAGCATATAAAGAACAACAAGGACACAAATAAGTACGAAGGCTGGCCAGAAGTTGTTGAGATGGAAGGCTGTATCCCTCAGAAGCAAGATTAAATGAAAACAAAAGGAAAGGAGAGCAAATATGGAAGAAAATGCACTTTCTGCTATTAGTAGGGAGAGGGCTATGAAGGAGACTGTACTGTAAATAATATTTTTAAAGCATGCTTCCATCTTGTCGGTGTGTGCATGAGCACTGACATTTTGAATATTCAGATTATTTATTGCTAACACACATAGAAATCCTTTTTGTAAATATGTCCAAAATAAAAGAAACATCAAATCATTTCTATGCAGGTTCCTTAAAAGCACAGTATTTAGTTTGCCTGTGGTAAATAATATCTTGTAGATCAACTGGCTAATGAATTGCATATGTGGATAATAAACAGATCCTGAAAAATGTTGTACTGTCCTCTTAACAGCGTAATGTTGCTGTGAGTATGTAACCTTTGTGGAATATTGTAGATTTTAGTGATAAGTTAATAAAGAGCTTTAATTTTTTTTATCCTCTGCCTTTTTAATGGCAGCATCACTTTTTATTAAAGTTGTTTGGTTATTCTAATCCCAAGTGCTCCAGAAATTTATTTTGCAGTCCCCCATCAAAACTGAATAATCAGCAAAGGAAGAATGTGTGATAGTGTAACAGATACGCCATGAGAAGCGCAATATAAATTATTTTTATTAGGGGAAGAACAAAAGTAAATATCTGAATAGTGTGATATTTAAAAGCAGCTTGAAAGGATTTGTGCTTAACTTGAAAATAATGTTTACTTTGTAGAAGAGACTTGGCACGCTAAGCAGCAGTACTGTGGCTAACTTGTTCAGTTTTTATAGCAATTTTCGTACTGCTGCTTAACCATCGATTCTACCTATGGCTGTTAAGCTGTAGTGTCTAGTCACATGGTAAACGTACATAAGGGTATGGCTTCCTCTTCTAGTTCTAACATCAGGAATGAATTTCCCATCACAAAGAGCCTGCTGGAAAGCAGTCTGCCTTCTAGTGAGAGTTGTTTCAGGGTACATAGTTGTGCACCTTTACCACCTATGTTACATCTAATGTGAGCGAAGCAAGCTGTTCTTACAGGGAGGTGTCAGAGAAAGCATTGTATCTTGGGGTATGCAATGTGTGACATTTAACCTTAACTGACAATGTTTCCTTCATCTTTTTTTTTTTTTTAAATGAAAAAAAAATGGACCAAGTTGAAGTGGCTTTTATTCTTTAGCTCGTATCAGAGCTGTCAGAAAACAGCTTTCTTTGGAAACTTTTGTTTCTTTTAAGTAGGGCCAGCTTCAAACTTTGCTGAAGCTAAGTTAGTGTGGTGTAACTGATGGTGTCGGTATTCACAAAATAGGGGCTGACACAGAATTGGGTGTAATCTCTTGGAGCTTTATTGCGAGTTCTGGTGTGATCTTCAGAAACTTCTAGACAGTACTATGGGACAAAAGTCACAAAGGATTTTTCAGGAACCCACAGTGCAAGTTGAACACAGTGGTACTCAAAATACTGTTATCGTTGATGTCTTAGACAAATTTAATTCTGTGCACTAAAAATTTCAAGCAATATTGGAAATTACTTTGTAAGTCAAATAACCTGTGGTACCAGAGTAAGAGTGGATTCTGAGGTGCTCTGTATGTTTAACTAGCTTGTTAAATAATGTGGTTTTTCATCAAGTTCAACATAAGAGTAGCAATAAATACATCTTATACAGTGAAACTGCTTTTGTTAAATCTTTCAGATTTTCTTATGTAGGAGGACATGTGAAAATCATGTATATTTTTTCATCAAAATAACCTTCCCTATTTCTGTCAGTTGGAAAATAATTTATATTTCATAACATTAGGCTATTGTGAAAAACTTATTGTGCAAGTCCTGAGAATTTTCACAGCAATACAGTTTTGTCGGTGTATATGCCAGTGTTGGGTATGCTGCTATCCAAAATAATATCAGAATCATTTTGAAGCTACTTGGGAGGGGCATAAGAGAAAAACATTTGTATGCGTTAATAGTTTCCCAGGACTACTCTTCATTTTTTTGGTTTTGAATGCCAATGAATATTTCATCTTTCATCAAATTAAAAAGTTCAAATTTCCTCTACAAAATTAAATGGAAAGGAGATAAGACTGGACGCAGACCTCTTTTAGCCCTTGTATGTTTTAAATTTGTGCCTTTTTTTCAGCGATCTGAATTAAGTAAATGTATTATGACTCTAACACCTTAAAGTTGCACCTCCCACAAACCTTTTAAACAATGGATTTTAAAACAATAACATGGTAGGATTATTTTTGTAAGTCCTTAAATCCTTTGATTCTTGTGATTTTGATGGAAATCTTCCTCTTGTTCTCTAACCCATGTGTTACCATATTTAATAAGACTCCTCAAGTATATAAAACTCATACTGGAGCGGCTGTGCAAATGGGGTGTCCTTGCTCTTACCCATCATCCCGGTCTGTTGACTTGTCACAAGATCCAGTCATGCCCTCTCTTCTGTCTTGTGGGCTAGTCGCAGTATCCTCTTGTTGACGTAGGCTTTCTGATGCTTACTCTTAAGCAGGACTTTCTGATGTCTTATGTGCGTTTCCTTTGAGTTACCACACTCAAAGATTACTTCTCTGGCCTCCCTGGTCTCTCCAACAGCTGGTGGTAGGAAGCGGTCGGTTGCAAAGATGAAGGCATTTTATACAGGCAGCTTCATGTGAAAGTACCTGTGTGTGACAAAGCTCCAGGATGCATATTTTCCTACATGAGGTGATGGGAACATTTGCAGCGTCGTACAGACCTGTTAAGAACAGAGCAGTGAGGGAAGGAAAGAGAAAGATTGTGGGGAATGTTTACCTCAGAAAGTGCAGTCATGCAAAGTAGAGGGGAAGGACACAGGAAGATTGTAACTTCATTTTCCCCAAGAAGCACCCAGCTCAGATCCAAGTCACCTGAAGACTTCACTGCAAACCGTAGCTCTCGATTGCTGTACTAGTGTTGCTTTGTGCAGATAATAGGAATCTTAAGAAAGACTCTGAAGACCTTGACATGCCCTCTGCTTCTTTCCTACTGCCTTTCATGATCAAACTTATATTTTCCTCTAGAAACAGCCTCTTACACCTTTAGTTTCCCAAGTGCTAGTTTGGAAAAAGCTCAGCATGTTTTGCTTTCCAGATGCATTACTGTGGCACTTGGTTTCCTCATTGATGTGACTACTAAATGCTTGATGCATGTGTTAAGGTCTCCTAAATGGGATTTTCTGCAGTGTGAGTGTTTTTCAAGAATGAGTGTATTAGTAAAATATAGGCCAGGTGGATAAATTCAAGAGGAAATAAAGTAATAATACTGCCACTGTAAGCGTGGACTGACTTTCTTATGTAAGGAAGGGAAGGGCCATGGTTCCTCCCTAAACTGACTTGGGTCATGGATACTAGGCAAGGGATTTTTTGTTGATGAAATCCTCTTCATTGTTACAGCTGTAAGGCCAGGCTAAGGCTGTACGCTGGCCTTAACACAAGGGGTCTGGCTAAGAAAATTTAAAAAGAAACCAGGTGGAAAGAGGATTTTATTATTTTATTTCCAAGAGGAAATAATAATACTGCCACTGTAAGCGTGGACTGACTTTCTTATGTAAGGAAGGGAAGGGCCATGGTTCCTCCCTAAACTGACTTGGGTCATGGATACTAGGCAAGGGATTTTTTGTTGATGAAATCCTCTTCATTGTTACGGCTGTAAGGCCAGGCTAAGGCCGTATGCTGGCCTTAACACAAGGGGTCTGGCTAAGAAAATTTAAAAAGAAACCTGGAAGGCTGGATGGGATCTTCGAGGACAAAGAAAGAAGGTGCAAGAATAGCTCTTGGCCTGTTTGGTGATACCACGAGGTGTCAGTAGCTTCCGATGCTGTAGTCAACATGAGGGACGCTGCTTCTTGTCCTGTGAGCAACGTGCCAAAAGGACACAAAGATCTGGGCTCAGCCGCCTCTTGCTGCTGCCTCCCTGCAGGCCAAAAAATGAAGAATGGCAAGACAGAATGTGCTCTACTTGAGAGATTTCATTACATTTCTGATTATCGTAATATTAGCTTAAATCCACTTCAAGTTTCTCCTTGCTGCTCCTGTAGTCAGCCTACAAACAAGATCTAATGCATCCTTTATAGAGTCAGGTTAAAACATGCTCCTCAGATGTCTCTTCCTATCCTAACTAACCATCTTGATAGGTTGTCTCATGTACCATCCAAATCTTCTTTGCTGAAAATTAATGATTACTTCTTTGCAAGTTAAAAATTGATGACTCTCCTCTTCGATGTCTACATTCTTCCTGGCCCTTTATTTTCCTTTCTAGAGTGAGCAACCCAGTTCCTTTAATCTTGCATTTATCCTTTTAAAATTGCTATAATCTGTAAATCTGTAATCACCCATTCCCTCAGAAAGGTCTGTTCCTTTCTTAGGGTGTTGTCCATACCAGATATAGCTATAACCTCACTTACATGAAAAACGGCACTCCCATCTGAGGAGGAATCGTGTCTGCTCTTTGAGCTTGATGGATGGCAGTGAAAGGGAGTGCTATCTTCTGTGGAACATAGCCTGCAAATGTTTTTTTTCCTAGCAAATGCTGCAGCAATCCTCTTTGGCTAATTATCTTCCTCAGCCTTGTATATTTCAACATTGTCTTTATCAGTACTGCCTCGCATTCCCAGATCTTGGCAGCTGAATCATCCTTCCCATTGGAAAACCTGGTGGATAATGTCTTGATTTATGGCTTTTATACCTAAGCCCTCATAGATGTCTCAAAAGCAAGTTAAGAAACAATGTAGATAAATATACCTTGTGTTTTGTGGTGTATTAATAAATAAAGTCAACATCCTCCATTATCCTTTGAAGTATGTAGAAATGAAAACTTTCTTTCAGGGCTTTAGAATATATATGGAAAGGGTTAGGGATCAGCATAGAGCACTGTAATAGTCTAGTCACATTGTGTACTGTGTAAAATGCACAGAAATCACTCCATCCTCTATGGAAAATTTCTGATCTCTGGAGGCAGCCCAAAGCAGCTGGTTAATTCTGATCCTCTTGCTGATCGTGCACTACAATGCAAGAGGTTTTTAGAGTGGTTTCTTAGCATTGCAATCATGCAGTTGCACATCAGCAAATGGAAAAAAAAAGAAACACTGAATCCAACTAATATTTCAAGGTTAAGCGGACAGAATTGTGTTACCCCAAATACGGTGTCAGCAGAGAGTACGATACTGTTCTGTATTGCCTTAGTGCTGTTTAGTCCTGAGTGACCCAAAGCAAGGAGGGCATCTTAAAGAGGTTACTTGCAGTTGTAGTGCCGTAGAATCATTGATCAATGGAAAATGTGCCTGCCCTGAAGCACCAACACTTCTTACTGTACACGGCTTGTTTGTTTTCCTGAGAGGGCACAATTTTAGCACATTGTGAGGGATCATAAAACTTCTGCAGGAGGTGGTTGTAGCATTCTATAATACCAAAAGTTTGGTTCTACCTAAATCTCTTGCATTGAAATGACAAGAATGGATTTATTTCATTAGCTGCTTTGTTTGCAGAACTTCTGTCAAATATTCT